TCAACCCCCATCCAAGGTTTTAGAGACTGCCCTCACCAATCTCTCCTTCCTTCATAAAAAAAGAAATCTCCAGGCCCATGGTGCAGCTTTGTATTTTTTACTCAACTGCTCATTTCTAGCTTAATACAGGAAAATGTATCATCACAAGCTTCATTTCATCTGTGTGCATAAGTCAATGAAAGACCACTTTTATGTGTAAAGTAAAGTGACTGGCCTACATCATTGCTAAGTCAGCGAGTTATTGTTCGAGCCCAGCTGTCAACTGCATGACTACTGACCGCATCCACTGGTGCCAACACTTAGTCCAAGTCCTCAGTCTTGCATATTTTTCTACTAAGAAAACACCTGCCTTTACTAGTATGACTGCCTCTGACCTTTCACCATCCAATTTTTGACACCTAACACTTGGATTTCAGTCTTATAACGACCTATCCAGACTCTAACACAGGTGCATGCAGCAGTGCCGTCTCTACACCAGACTTCACACTGGGAATGATGCGATGTACTGTGGTTCCTTTCAACAAAACCATTGCCACCATCCAGGCAATGTGCTAAGCTGCTTGGTCCAAGATTCCAGCCAGTCATCCTGCTTCTCTCATTAGCTGCCTGGCCTGAAACCCCAGCCCAATGTGCAGAAAACATTCCCTCGAGAACCATAAGCAGGACTTTGTGGTAACGTATGTCACACACTGGCTGAACATTTTCCAATTTAAACAAGCCAAATAATCTCAATGGCATTCTCAACTCTCCTGCTCTCTTTAAATAGAATACAGACTCAACCACTATTCTTCAAGAATGTGATTAGAAAGACTAAAGATGCATGAATGATGTCAAGTTTGCTGTCACAGCTTCTGTTTGTGTCTATTGCCTTTTCCTTTGAGTATCTGACATCCCCATCTTTCTTTGCTTCCTCCTTATCAGTGCTTGAAAGCGTCATTAAGAAGCATGATTCATGCTGCTGTAATGTAGTAGGAGGAGCACAGCTGGAAATAAAAATACAAATAATGACTGAAATTTCAGAGAAGAGAGGAGACAGGCTACAAACAGGGAAGTATCAAAGAATGTGAAATCAACTAGAGGTTCCTGAATTCATGTCATTGGTTTTGCAACAACTGGACAAATCATTTGTTGTGTCATATCTGTGAATGCATTACTCATGGTTTCCCTAGAATAGTCTATACCCACACAAGTACATTTAAGTACTCACAGATGAGCACAGTGAAACACGTGCACACCAACACTCCAATAGGTCAGTGTTTTCACAGCTGGGACTGGACAAGAAGCCAGTACAAACAGCGACATGGACCATCTGTGTGTATGTGTGACCTGGTACACACACCCACACATACCACTCTTACACACACACACACACACACACACACACACACAAACAAACTGGACTGTTTTATGAAGGAATAACCCTTTTTATCTATTAAAGCCTAAAGCTATATATGAATTATGGTCTAAACCCTACACACACTGATCTCCTGACATGCTCACAAGGTTCACCTAAATTCATCTTTACAGTTATTCAGGCCAAATACTGCATAGGTTTGTTGTCAATTCCTAGGCAAATGTGCAGCATGCCTAACTCTCAGGCATGAACCTAAGTAGCCTATATTTTTACTATAATGTTAATGTCCTGATGCCTTTTCCAAAACTGTATTTGAGTCTGCTTCAGAAGAGTGGAGGGGGGAGTGTATTTTCAGAGTGCTGGTTTCCCCATCTGTGCGACCACAGTGCTGGGCTGCTCTCACTGCAACTTTCTGCCCACTGTTCCCATGCCTCGTTCTGGGCTAAATACATATTTAGGGAAATACCGAGCAGGAAATCATATGCCTTGCTCTCTCCATGCACCCAAAACCTATTACTCACAGCCTCTTTTTTTTTTTTTTTTTTTTTTTTTTTTTTTTTTTTTTTTTTTACTACTTCTATGGGACTACTGCAGAGAAACTAAACTTGAAAGTTAGTTTTGGGCCAAATTAAAGTTGATCTATCCAGGTAAATTTTGCTGCTCATGAATGCTCTCTTTCAGCTTTCCCTGCTTCTGATTCATACAGTTCTTCAGAGCAGCCCTTTACAACCACACTCTTCTACTACTGGTCACTACAAAGCTAGAGTGGAGCTGATGAGAGAGCTAGAAGCAAGGATCAAGGACTACTGACTCTCTAATCCTTAGTTTGCACATCCAGATTTTGGACTATTGTTACAGCAGGCTAGGTGGGAAACAAATAAGGCCACAATGTAGTCTGAGAAAATTGTAAAATTAAGTCCCACAAAAAACCTCAAACAAGGCTGCATTTTGAAATCTGTTCTGCCAGCTGGATTGGAGTTTAACAGACATCTCTGTGCCAGTCATGAAGATCAATGATTTCATAGCCACTTCCACTGTCCATTAGTAAAGCTACTACTATGCACTTTAAAATGCCCGACATCAATACAAATAAGAGGAAGAGCTTGCTCATGCCATTTCTGTGTGAGGAGAAATAAATGACAAATTGATTCTTCTGTATAGTGAGTTCAACTGGTGCTGTGGAGGCCTTGGAACACATGCTAAGCAGATTAAATAGGTTTGGGGGCTTGTGTATGTGTGTTTGCGTATTCGTATGAGCGCATGCATGAATAAGATCCTGGCACATCACAATCAAGCTCCTCTAATGCACTCCCCGTGGACCTGAAGAAATAAACAGATAAAGTGCATGTGAATGCAATGGCAAAAGAGAGAGCCAAGAGTGAGCGGAATAGGGTAGGAGGAGAGCAAAGAGGGTGTGAGAGAGAGAGAGAGTTTTCAGAAATGTTATTGGAGCCGTAGAAGTCATTTCTGACTTAAAGAGTTCCAGATGTGGGCCAGCCCCTGAGAAAGAGTCAGAGAAACTGAGTAAAATGAAGAGGGAGGAGTATTTAAATGACTGTGCTCTTCAATATGAGTAGTAGTCTACCCTCCAGGCTTGAGAGCAGAAAACAGATCTTTGCTTTTGTGTACACTGATGGTTGTGGTGGCTGTGATGGGAAAGAGGACTTCAGCAGAACCACATTTAAGGTGTTGGGAGTCAGGTGGTCAAGTGGCAGAGGGCTATGCCTAACCCTTATCCAAACCTAGCCTAAACAGAATTCCCACTTTAACCTTAAAACCAAGTCTTTACCCTCAAATAGCTTTTTGACAGTGTGTGAGAAAATGAGGACAGACAAAAACATCTTCACTTCCATGGTATAAAACTCAAAACTGGTTCACACAGTACAAGTACACAACGGTCCTCCTCAAACCCAGTGACTGAACACACCAAAACTGACAAGTCAAAACACTTCCAAATAACTTGTGGTTGGTATGTCTTTAACTTTAGCTCCAACTCGAGCCAGCTAAGAGAAATTCATGAGTGAAACCTGTGACTGATACACAGAATATGAAACGTAATGTATCAGTGAATGAGTGTGTGCAGGTACTGCAAGTTAAGTACTGACTGATCTCAAGCCTTTATTCTTACACAAAAGCTGCTCTTGCATTATACTCTTAACTACATCAGTAGCCGTCTGATGGCACTGCTGTAATAATGACTCTCTCTAGTTATTTTCTCTGTGCTGTGCACATGATAATATACATAGATGCATGCACTCAGCTTTCCAAGCATTTGCTCTCACTCCCTCTGCACTGGACTAAGCTGCACAATCCCACAACAAAAGGCTATTGTGCCGCAGTAAAATGCTCTGCTCCCGGGAGCTGGTAATGTGCCACAAACAAAGGATGGTTACATTGTCCCAACACAAACTCATGAATCAACTCAACACTGGGCTGCCAAAACAGCCACAGAAGAAGCGCTACAATTCTATGGGTTTGATAAAAGGGGGAAGAGATTGAGGGTTAACTGAGGAGGGATGTGAGAATGGAGGAAATAAATGGACAGGATGCACAGCTGGAGCTGGAAGACAGAGGAGGGAGAGAGAGCTGTACAATACAGATGAGGACAAATTAAAGGAAAAACCTGAATAAATGAGTGGTCTCTTTTAAAATGTCAGTACCCCCATCCATACGGCAGGAGAGGTCAGTGAAAGGTTTGCTGCTTACAAACATGATGTGAATCTTATGCTATGGCCTTCACAGTCACCAGATCTAAACCCAACCAAACACCTGCAGGAGGTTTTGGAGCGACATGTTAGACAGCGCTCTCACCACCATCATCATCAAACACCGACTGAGGGAATATCTTCTGGAAGTAGAATTCCAAACAATGCCAAAGTGCACTGAAGCTGGTCTGGTGGCACATAGTGTCCCAACACCTGTGACCCTTTATGTTGGTTCTTCCCATTTGTCACCCATCTGTATCTTCTGAATGGGTGGTTGGTAAAAGGGGTTTGTCCTACAGGATGAGGACATGCAAGAAGGGGAGGATTTTAAAGGAGGGCAGCCAACACAGCAGGAGGATGAGTGGTGAAGACAGTGTAAACAGAGAGCTGTGTCAACACACTAGTCTCCTGCCTGGGCTCCAAACCCCTCTGCACCCCAAATCACAACAGCAGAGAAAGAGTGACATGTGAGGACTCAAATCTTGCAGCTGACAGATGAGAGTGAAATTTATAATCAAATGTGACTGCTCAACACAGCAGTCCAGAAGCCATTTCCCCTCTTGCAACCTTTGGTCAGGGAGAAAATACGTTCTTTGTTCATATCAAATGCCTCCCAGACGTCATGTTCCTATTCTGACCAGTCAAATTAGCACTGAGTCCATGTAACGCTCACATACAAAGAGCTTCTATTATATGCAGCAGCAGACCACGTTTCACCTTTTCCACACATGTGGACTGTGAGGGATGGAAAGGTGCTCACCAGCACTCTGAAAGGAGTGTGTGTGTGAGACAGAAAGAAAAGTTCAGGGTGAATTACAACATCCATTTCTACTCCACAAAACAAACTGAAAACTGTCATTTGCATCAATTTACTTACACAAACTACACATTCTGTTGCTCTCAGTCCACAGAAAAGGATTTAAAAACATCATTAAACCCACCACTGGCGTTCTTCCCGCAGATCAGGTGTTCATAGTGCTGAAGGACTCCCCACAGCTCCGCGTCATTGTTCACCACCCCCTCCAGAGTTTCTGCACTCACTGGGGCGCATCCTGACCCCGAATCCGGTCCCAAATGACCTCTCTCTGCCATCAATACCCGGGCTGCAATCTCCTCCACCAGAGCCTCCATGCTTGCAGTCATGCATATAGCCGCGTATTCATGGATGCGCACGGAGATGCGGGTGTCCACCATCCAGCGGAAGAAGCGACCCACGGAGAAAGAGAGGCCACAGCGGGCGGACTTGCCCTTCCTCAGCAGCTCCCCGGCGCTCATACTGTACATGGATATAGCCTTTACCGTAGCAGATACGCAGTGATCGGCCAGGGCCCAGCTGAGCACCAGCCTCATGGCGCTCTGCACCTCGAAGCGCGTACAGCGGCAGTGCATGACGCTGAGACGCTGAGCCTCTCTGGAAACGCGAATCAGAGCTCTGCGGAGGAGAGTGGACAGCCGCCTCACGGCCTCCGGAGAGAATGTAGGTCCCCCTTTAACGCTCCGACTCTCGGCCACTTTGCGCAGTATCTTGGCGACCTCCTCTTCTGCCCAGGGGAACTCCTCCAGATCAGGTAAGCGGGGACACTTGGAGAAAATGTCCTCTGGGTCTTCGGGGAGGACAGTGTTAACAGTGTCCCAGCTGTTGTTCCTGCTGTTCATGGAGCCGGAGTAGTACCACCAGTTGCCCCGGTGAGGGGCCGTAATGAAGGCCTGGGAATTTGACTTGGAGGAGGACAGGCTGAGGGATTTGCAGGAGTCCCCCGCCCCGTAGCCAGAGTCCAATGTCAGGTCCTCCAGGGTTTTCATGTGGACATTGCTTAGACCAGCCATTACTGTGAAATCACCTCTGCAAAACTCACCAGTGGTGGTTTAACTGAAAGTTAATGAAGCAGCCGTGTGCTCCCCGCAGAGCTGGATGAACCGGTTACACAGGGCAACACTTGTCAAACATGCTGCCAAATACGAGGAGAAGGGCGGTGAAGGAGCACAACTGTACAAGCGGATAAAATCCTTCTATACAGGAAATGTTTCATCGATTCCGTCTGTATTGTCGCTGACAAACAGGGCAGTTGTGAAACTTAAAGACGTCCTGGCTTCAGCGTGCTCACGGGCAGTACAGGCATTTAAACTTCCTCCAAAATCCACAGTCTTTTCAAACACGACGAAATGCCCCGCCACTGTCTGAGCAAAGCCAAACCCGAGGTCATATATAGAAAGAAACCAGACACTCAACGGACCGAAACTACTTCGTTTAAGTATACAACCGCATAAAACTCTTGAATTTGCCTCTTCGCTCTCCTGTCCCTGGTCAGGAGCAGTTTGCTGGAAAGACTCAGCTGTAGGTGCGTGAGAAGAGGGACTGGAGATGAATGACACCACGGAAGCAGCCCAAACACCAATCAGGAAAGGGCCGACTTTTGTGCCAGCCAATCAGAAGCCGCTCCGAATCTTTCTTGAGTTTGGAAGGAAAAGTGTGGCAACAAATTACTTTTTCACATATTCACATTCGCATACGTAATTTTTATGTATTACTTTCAAATCTATCACAAACAATGGTTAAACGCAATTAATTGACAATTTAAACTCACTAATTAGAATAAACCTGTGGCTGGGTGTCCCCATTAGTTTTATATTCTATTCATGACTATGGGGAAATCTTTGTAGTTAGTTAACTGGAAGCAGAACGCGCAGACTCTAGGTATCTTCTCATGTTGACTCAGGGGACTTGGCTTTCTACCTACACATTAGTTAATCTCTCACCTGCAGACTGTAACAGAATCTGAATCAGTAAATCCATTTTAATTGTGTAAGAGATGGGGCAGTGTTTACTTTGATTTGATGAGGCTTAGGATTTTTGCTGAAAGCTTATTTCACAAGCTTATTTAGGATTGCAAGGCAGAGAGACATATTTCAACAGCCACTATAAGTATGTGCAAGTACATCTCTCCTTACTCCTCTTTTTTATTTTCTAGTAAGAAAACGTGTGCAAAGCAAAGTCTAAGTAAACCTTGTTATGAAACTTTACAGTTTAGCTCATACTGTGGCTCTATTTAATGTTTCTGCTTAGGGGGTGTAACATGCTTGAGATGAAATAACCCAAACGTGCTGAAGAGGCACACAAGAGGCGCATAACTACCTGCTTCTTACCACTCTGAAATCACAGGTAGGGTGTGTCTCCACTGAAATAGAGTTCAACACTATTACATAATGGGTGGATGACATTTACCCTGCATACCTCTGTGACTGCAACACATTGTGAAAGCGGCTGCAATGAATGTCTTCTTGCACATACAGTATACAGATCTGGAAGTTACGCCACATACCATGTAAAGTGGAAAAACTGACTCTCAAACATGTTCACATATCACGGTTTCTGAATCAATCATAGTCAACCTTTCAGTCCACTTAACCTCTCCAGTTAGTCACAGCTGCTCTAAATGAGATCAGAGACATAAGGGAAGAGGAAATGACAGGAGGTTAGCATTCACCTCATCCACATCTCATGTAGTTTTAGTGTGGACAGGGTTTTCCTCGTGGTCTCTCTCCGTGTGCCAGCCTGCTCAGGGCAGACATGAAGCTAGTCCACAGCCCAGAGCAGAGCGGCACACAGGGAGAGCAACAACTCAAAACAAAGAAACTCTGCAAATGATTAAATGCAGTCTGAAAACACAGCAGCTTTGTTGGAATTTAATGTTGGTTTTTACAATATTTGCTTTTCCTGTCTTAAAACTTCATGAAAACCATATTATGTCACCCTCAGAGAGTAAACCAGGGCTGCAGAGGGGTTTTACACTGGTATTTACTTTAGTTTGTTGTTAGTAAAACAAGTTGAATTATTTGCACAAAGGAAGTGATCCAACACACTGTCATGAGTGTGTGTGTGTGAACATGTGGGAGGGGATTTTGAAGCCTGACCATATTTTTCATGTCAGGTGTACCTCTGCAGGTACAGCATGTGTGTCCGCATGGGTGGAGCACCTCCGTGTGGTCACATAGGGAATAGAGTTGTTATTTTCATTTGTTGTAGTTGATGTAACAAAAACTAAAATTTAGGATTAACACATTTGAAAAACGACATGGACGTAGGCATAAAATTTTATTGGCAAAAAACCAGCAAATCAAAATAAAAGTACAATACATTATTAAAACCTTTTCTCTACAAAACAATTTCACAGAAATTACTTTGGAATGTATATTCCTATTTTTAATTTTAATGGTTCTTTTACATATATATATATATAGGTTTGTGTGTGTGTGTATATATACATACACAAACCTATATATACATATAAATGATGTAGACTGTAGAGTATAGACCTTTTCCTGAAGAGGCAAAGAAACGGTCTTGGAGGGCATTTTGACAATCATATTGTCAATAACCGATCATTAGCTTTCATCCATATATATGTCCAGCGTTAAGCCCTCCAGCCACTTCCTGTCAAAATAAATCCCATGTTGCATAAACAGAAGCATTAGGGACCCAGCCTACAGCCAAACTAACGGGAGCAGATGGGGTCCTGCTGGACTGAAGCTGCCAGTGAGTCTCCATCACACCTTCTGTTCCCTCTCAATAGTTATTTGTACCTTCTCTGATTATGTCAAATGGGGCAACTGGTTTGCAAAGACCACTCCCTCTTGTTTCTAGGGTAGCATAACAAACATACAGACATTTCTGTAATGTATTTAGTAGAGCCATTTTTCCATTTTTACAGTGTATCTGAATTTATAGTGACATTACAGCCTGAGTGAGTGTTTATTTTGAATAAAGTTAATGAGGTATCACATCAAATAATGTGCTGCTGAATTTTTTCAATGTGATACAGGACACAGATGATTTAAACGTCACTATTTTTGGATTTAATTTAGATTTTAAGTACATTCCAACCTTTTCTGATTTGGGATTGTAAATGTCAGAAAGCTTTTGTAGTACCCCTCCTGTTACAGTTTTAATGTTCCAGCTGACAATGAGGAGGGAATGTAGGACAGTGGAGTTTTAAGATATAAACCATTCCCAAATTCAGTGTTTTATAGCAGAGAATATCACCCCCAATGTTAGTGTGTCCACACTGAATTAGGACAAATGAAAACCTCATTTAAATAGCTAACAACAAAACAAACCTATGTGCAAGAATACAAGTCCTCACCAATAACCAGCATTAATATGGGTGTAGTATGTAAAACAGATATTACAATACAGCAGCAGGACTATTCATAATGTTTCAAAAGATAAAATCATCCAACATGACACTGAAAATGAATTAAAGATAAAAGAAATACAGGAGTGAGAGGAACAGAAAGAGATGATGTTTCTGTCACTATATTTTTAGAAAAGGGCTTTTCTGATTAGAACACTTTGATTCATAATATCATATATCAGGAAAACTTCAGCACCTTCGTCATACTGGCTAATAATATCCAACAGGTAGTAGTTCATGTATTTAGAAATACTGTTTACCAAAGAATTCCTCTACTCATACGTACTACACCACCATGTCTGACTATACTCTATGTATAACATGTTGACACACATTCTATTAGGCTTCCACGTGAGAGTGTGTTAGAAAAACTATCTTAGGCTGCCTTCACACCCCTTTGTTAAAAAAGCTGCTTCCTGTTATCATAAGCACACACAAACGCAACACACACACACACACGTACCCACACATACTCACACATACAGACAATAACAGCTGTCAAAAAACTGACTGTCTGAAAACATTGCACCAAAAAAGAACAGAGAGAAAGAGATAAAAAATAACTCTCTCCTCTCTGTACAGTAGTTCAGTCAGTGAGGCAAAGTGATGACTCAGGGTCTGTCTGCGTAAACAAGCTCACAAAGTTCAGATTTTGATTCCGTTTCCTTATACAGGCAAGCATACAAGAGGGGGCTGATGGTGAAACAGAGGTGTCCCAGAAAAGAGCCCATTTCAGAAAAGGCAGAGTTCAGGCAGTGAGCGAGCTCCTACATGTCTCTCTCTCAAACACAGTGGATCTGCAGGTAGGCGTTGGAATCCTCTGACCACCAGGGGGTGCTATCCTTTAGGAGTTTTCTTGTTTTGAGCATTCCACATGCCTCGTTTGGAGTGGTAGTAGTGAAAGAAGTTCCTCAAGCGTAACCTCTCTACTTCCAAACCATTTTGCAGCACCCTAGAGGGAGAGGACGGCAGAAACGCTGGGTTAAAAAGGGGACACCACAATTTTTTTTCCATCCAGGCAGAGCAGAGGAACTCATCTTGGTAAAGGTAACTGGTGGCTGTCATAGCCTGTTTGAAGTTTTTTCTTCTTTTATTCAAGGGTCAGTTCAGGCTTTGAATTTGCCAGTTTTATGCCACCACCCCAATTCATAGAAAGGTTTGTCTGTGAAAAAATACATTTAAAAAAATACCAGAAATAATATGCACCCATCATTTTGCAGAACAATTCTGCTTTTCCTTTGCTGGTACCCTACTGGAATTAAATGTGCACATTATCCACCTGCTTTGGTTTAATAGAGAACATTCTTTCATATACGACTTGGGTACAACAGTGTTAAATAAAAATAAAAAAAAACTACAAATATGATATCACAACAGTAATGCACTGTCATTTAGAGTAGATGGCCACAATCTTATAGCATGATGCAATATGGTTCAACACAACTTCCATTATAAAGCATATAATATTTAACTACAACTGTATCTGATGCAGTCCCAACAAAAGCTAAGATTCTAGTAGTATTCTCTGCAGGGTAATTATGTTGAATTGTTTGTGGGTTACCTGTCCAGCAGCTCCCAGTCCTCTCCACCCCAGCGGTCTTTGAATTCCTCTGTGTTCATCCCTCCAATCTTATCAAAATCTGACTTGTAGATTCCAAACAGACCAAAGCCATTTACCTCCCAGTAACCTGCAGGGAACAAAAACAGAAAAGAACTATGATCGACAGTGAGCATATTAATAAAGAAATCTTGATGCAGCTGTGTTTATAATGTATTTAAAATGAAAACCTCTATTATGAATTCAATGTTGCTGTCTGTACCTGGAGAATGACTTTAAATGAAAGTCAATATGTGTTAATAAGGAGTGTGGTTATATTTGTGTGAGCACAGACATGTACTGTAATGTGTGCGTATTTGGGTGTTACCATCAGGCTCCTGTGGTGAACTGCCACAGCTGAGTCTCATGACAATGGGAGCAAAAGCAAGGCGTCCCTCCACGCAGTGCTTCCTGATGCTTTCCAAGATGTTGAGAGGGAAGTGGATGTGCAGGTCACACAGGAACACGATGCTGTGATTATCCTGCAAGAGGACAGACAAACAGTAACGTACACATTCAGTCACTTTAAATAGTCTCCAAATTTATCCTATGTGAGGGTAAAAGAAAAGCATGTGTGAGTGAGTCTGTGCGACGACTGTGTATGAGCTGGTGTAAATTTGTGTGTATGTTCACATGCGACTAATAAGGGATTTTAGGATTAAAGCGTCTGGACTCAGCATCAGCTGTTTATCTTCACTATGAGAGCCCCGCAAGTCATTCAGACGTGAGTGACAGCCGTGCCGTCCCACCGTGACAGTGCTGACACTCAAATGAAGGATCACTGTCTGTCCAA